CCACCTCTTGGTCCAGCACGGCGATCGCAATCTTGCCGTCATGCCCAGGAGTCCAACTGCCAGCCCAAGCACCATGTACAAACCACCCAGGGCCTGTGAGAATCTTTCGGCGTATACTGGGCTAGATCTATGCAGGGCGGGTGTATTGATCTGCTAAATCTTTAGAACTTTACCACAAGTGAAGCAAAGAGCAAGAGCTGTCGAATTGGGTTGAGGAGCGCGAGGGCAGCGCCATCTGTGATCCGTGACCGCCTTCTGGCTCCAGAGCGTGCGAGAAGTCTGGAGATCGCCGAGGCGAAGCAAGAGCGAGAAGTAGGGCCAAGCAAGAGATAGTAACTCTGATAGGCTCGTGGGCACCAGGCCTTTGCCTATAAGGAATGCTTGGACGCGTTCTGCGTTGGCATCGTCAGGTACCATGTCAAGGTCTGTGGTTAAGTATGTTATCGTGACATTTGCGACCATGAGTACTGGCAGAACGGCTCCAAAGGTAGTATCCATAGCTGCATCGAACAGGACCAGGAAGAATGTGTTGTTCTGAACACGGGGCGAGAAGTGCAAGACTGGCGTTACCAGCGCATTCAAGCAGATCAATAGAGAATACACGCAGATCCAAACAGATGCCTGCCCCATGTACAATAAGTTCACCAAGCGCTTGCTTTGATTGATGAGCTGCAAAATTTCCAGCACAGCCTGGCACAAGAAGGACTAAGAGAAGGGCGTGCTCGATGCAAAAGGCTCTCTGCCGATAGGGTACGGGCTACAGGTATAGGGTCTCGAGTTCAAGCCGGACGCAAGGAAGAAGTCAAAGCAATTTCCCAAGTCCTGGCTATGTGCTGTGCCTAGGGGAAGGATCCCTACGGGTGCTTGGGGTCTTCGTCCGCATTTGTCACGGCGAAAAGCTTTTTGAACACTAATACTGACCAAATCAGTGCTCTAAAGCTCGCCCTTCAGCAAGACTAGTCGCCCAGTTCTCTCATGGTTAGCGGTACCGGTAGGTGGCTGCGATGCTAGGTGGCACTGATTGCCGCTATGCCTGGCTTTTAAGAGCGACAAACGACTGCACAGCTTCAGAAGTGCCTTTCTGAACTAGATGACAGGATTGCTCTCGTGGTCCGCGGATGCGCTCGAGGCCCTCATCCCTCATGAGCACTCAAAAGTCTGACGCTTGTGTGCCGCTGACGTTAAGGCTTGGATTCTCTGGAGCCTGCTCGAGTACATCGACAGACGTCGTTGGCTCAGCGAAGAGTTCAGCATGTCGACATCATGCCACATCGATTTTTTTTTTGTGCGGGGGGTCTCTGTACTTCATCTACACTAATGGCCCTCGCGGCATCTTGCAGCCGAACTTACAGACTTGATGGAAGCCCCACGGAAGCATTAGACATGCAGCGTCAAATCCGCTGCTCCAGTTGTTGCTGCCATGGGGCTGCTTTGCTGTGGAAGTACTTGCCCGTGGCCTTGAACTCCTTCAGCCACCCCTGGGAGGGTCTATCACAAGCTAGCTCCACGAAGGGCCGCGCACACCTCTCTATATTTACTAGAGCCGGAAGCAAGAAGCATCAGGAACGCAGAGGAACCAGCGCCAGAGAAAGAACTACTTCAGGATCCCCTAGCTCTCTGGGCCCTGCAAAGCATCACGCGAACACTTCGCAAACCGCCGAACTCTGAGAGTGTACCTGTAGGAGAACTAAGCGAACATAGGCGCAGAAGCACCACAACTCGAAGCCTTAGGGCCCTTTAAACGGACGTCTGCAGGCCTAGCTTAGGCATGCTTCCATCAAAGGCACTCCGCTCCAGCGAAAGCTGTCGGAAGCAGACGCTTCGGCACGGCTCATCTGGCCTTCGCCAGGCTTTTTGCAAAAAGTGTCTAGGCTCCCACGCTTTTGCAAGAATTACCTGTTGATCTTCGCTTGAACTTGTAGTTGGCCTGCTCAAGAACAAACCTTGCAAGATAAGCCTCTCAGTTCCCGGGGCTACCGGAACCCTGGTGTGGGAGCCTCAACTGCCTTAGACCCAGGGCCCAGGGCGTCTCGTCACAGCACTTGACCCAGAAAGTATTCCGGGATCACAGGCCCCTTTCCATACGGCTTCCTCCCGTCACAACGGAAAGAACTTGTACATGTCGGCGAGTGGCAGGCGAAATCTCAGGGCCGGAGACTCAGGTTGCAGCAAATAAGCTAGGGTCAACTCCCGGTTTAGGGTTTAGGGTTTTTTTTTCCCTAGGGTTTAGGGTTTAGGGTTTAGGGGAGTTTGGGAATCGCACGGAAACCAATTTCAGCCGAATTGCAAAGGCCCCAAAAGGTGCCGGCCGCCAAGAGGCAAAATAGCAGAGGGGTCATGACCTCGCTGTTGACGGTTTCGGTCTTTGAGGCTTCGTAGGGTTTAGGGTTTAGGGTTTAGGGTTTAGGGTCTCCAACCTGTAGCGGGGGATCCTCAGGTCGTCACGCACTGCGGTTGAGGTTCCTCAAGCAAGCAACTGGAATCCCTTCTGCCTCCAAAATTCGCCTGAGCTCTTCCCCCCAGTATAAAGATGTGCATACGAGCAGTTGATATTAAAAACAATAGTAGGGTCTGGTTTTCGAGGGTCGAAGCAATAGGTTTGAGTTTGAGCCGCGAGCTGGGCGTCATGTTGGCCATTAGCGACACTTCTAGAACCAATGTGTCGTTGTCGTAGTCGTCGTCGTCGTCGTCGGAAGTAGCTCAATTAGGCGAGACATGCGGTGTTCCCAGTCCGAGGCGCAGGGAATTCCGGAAGGAAGAGGCTGGCCAGCTGGCGTGCTGCCAGGACATTCCTCGTGCTTAGGAGGCTTCAATTCTTCGGAGTGCGAGCTGCAGCTTGGAGGCTTTCACGAGGCGAGATAGCTGAGGATCGAAGGAGACTGGGCGGGGTACATCGGCCCGATTGTCGGAAGATGTCGGAAGGGCACCGGATTCAGACCAGCATGGTTGTCCTGGCTCGGAGAAATCAAGCAACGAGCAAACAGCCCAACGCCATTGCTGTGCGGGAGGCACAATGCTAGTTGCAGACCCCCGGGTCCCCGGATCGCCAAACCCGCTGCTCGTTGGCTTCAAACGGTCGAAAATGCTGACCAAACATTCTGCGCGACTTGAAAGTTAATTATAATCAAGGCTCAAGGCCGCAACTGCCAGAGAGCCAGCCAAGGCTGCGACAGCAAAAGATCCCGCCACGGCCTGCAAGAAATCGTAAAACCCGGCGAACCACCGATCGGCTCTACACGTAGCGGTAACGCATGCGGTGTCGGTTTTCATCTGGATTTTTGAATGGCTGAACAGGTCTTTCACCCTGTGGAGGATTCGATCGGGCCGCCTAGTTGTCAAAATAGCTGGAAGTACTTCAAGTTCAAGACTAAAGCAACCCCTCCTTTAAACCCCTTCCAACCGGACTTTATCGTTCTCGAACCCACCAGGGTAATCTCCGAATGAGATCTTAAGGGGCCTGCATTGAAGCTCTTAACTCTTCTATACCCTGAAAGGTTTTGCAAAGAGGCAGACGGCAGGTCAGGTCAGCATCGGCTTTCAGTCCCCTCCCTGCGTGAACAACGCTCCCGTAGCATCAACTCCGACACTCTGCCTCTTCGTCTGGAGCTTCCGGGATTGAAGGTAAAAAACGGTTTCCAATGCTCTACCTACCACCGGCAAACCTCAGAAATCCTCAGGATCGGAGGCCTTAATACGCTTTTGAGGAGGAGCAGGTTCCGATAGCAGCTCCTCAGGGTTGCAGTCGGAGTCCCCGAAAGGCCTAAACCCTAAACGAGTCTTGAGGTCACATCTAAACCTTCAGGCATCCTTAGGCTTTTCAGGCCCAAGCAAGTTCAGCGTCTTCTGCAGGAACATGAAGGCCTTCGACTCCTATATCTCCACAAACGTTTTCAGGTCTGATCAACAGGTCTTGATACCCAACCTCCTAGATGCTGAGGTGAGATTTGGTCTGCTAATGTTGCCTGGCGCGACTAGATAAGTGACCATGTGCTTCGTGGGCACTGCGCTCATCCGCTCTTACTTTACAGCATCCTCCTGCATAATCCTTTGTGATCTAAAAGGCCCTCCTCTGGAACAGTCAGCCACGAAGGCAGCCGCGCAAGCGTTTGCATCTCAACTTCGCCCGGCATGGCTTTGCGGGCAGGCTCCTAAGATTATATCTTCTTGCTGCTGCTAGTATCCAGATTTCTCCTGCTTGGCATGAGTGTTGCGTTTCGGTCAGCCATTTTCCAATTCCTGTCATTGACGGTTTTGCTTTCACACTTTCTTGTGAGGATTTGGCTCCTTGGTTTAGCAGAGGGTTTGAAATGTGACTGTCAATGGATCTCAAAGACCAAAATGCATTAATTATGTGTGCATGTGCTGCGCACGCAACCTCCAATCCAATCTGAGCTTCATGGCAGAAACGCCGCAAATACAGTTGGAGGCAGGCCGTGGAATCGGTCTCCGTGACTGTTCATTCAACTTGAAGCCGAAGCCCAAACATGGTGTCTCAGCACCTTCTATGGATCTCAAGCATGAAGATATCCTCCAAAGAAGCTGTAGTGAGCTCTACGAGTATTGCTCAGGGCTCGCGGAGAGCCCAAATCCAAATGATGTCTTTATGCGTTGCATGACCTGTTGACTCATCCACTGAAAGCAGCAAGCTCTCGAGTTTGCGATCTTACATGCTCCACATGTGGAGCTCCTGAAGATAGCACAGCTTTCTGCACCGGGCCGCACGTGGCACAGAGATTTCACCGGCTTGACCATCGGTGCGCAAGGCTCTGGGAGTTCGGTTGCAAAGCTGCTCCTGCGCAGTTTCAATTTCGTGGCGCACCTCGGCAGACCCTGTCGAGTGCCTTTCTTTGTCAAGGCCAGGGAGGATTGCACGTTGAACGACACAAGATGCGTCCTTGCCTGCATCCTCAAGTTTCCTTCCATTCTTGCATGCTGGTTCGAATGCTTCGGGAAATCAACGCAAGCCTTGTGCAAACCCACAATGGTCCTCAGTGCCAGGCATTTGCGGTGGCATTCCTCCAGAGACCTGGGAGCGAAGCACATGACACCCAAGGTGATTCGTTCGGCAATGAGGGCGAGACAGTTTGGGTCGGAGGTTCAAGTCCGGCCCAAGGAGATGTTTTGCACCGGCTCCAAATCCTTGCTTTATTGAGGTGTAGGCACGTAAAGGAGGGCTTGGTCCCACGACCCTGCTCCAACCTCCCCTCTCTTTAAAGAAAACGCGCGAAAGACCCCAAAGAATCTGAGGGCCAGACTGGCTCTTGCGGTTCAGTTCCCGAATCTCCTGCTTCGGGCTTCCTTTCTTACAGTCTCTGGTTGTTTCTTGGTGCTTTTCCTGTCCTATTGAAAAAAGGCGATGGCTCTTGTACTACTACGACACTTTGGCTTTTGAAACCACGCTTCGGATGAGAGAGTGGAAGATTGAATGCGATGGGCTTCAGAAATGCCAAAGTTGAGTTTCACAAAAAAACAACGTTTGCATGTGAACTGGCCACGGCCTTTCATGCACACCGAAATTGGGCTCGCCAGCACACTGCTGCTCTACGCAAACATCATACACTCTCACTGGGCCCTCTACATGACTCTACATTCCATACCGACGCCCCAAGGTTTTAGGACATCTTTGTATTTCTGCTCTTGTGGTACGTTACTCTATGACTTTTTTGCACTGGATATGTACTCTAACCGTTCGGTCTACTCAACATCGCCTCGACGTGCTGCCACTGTCTCGTTCATGAGCATTCCCCCAGCGTGCTATTACTACGCTTTTTTTCCACAAACTTCGCTGTCCCAATTGCTTCGGTGCCATGGCCGAAAAGCAATGACAACGATGATCACAACGTTTGCGATGAGGCAAGGCTGATTGAGCATTGAATACGGCCTTCCTCATCAGTAGTCAGTGAATATGCATTCGGAAGCTACGCAGCCTGTTTCGAAACAGATTCCCTGAGCGCTCTGATCTTGTTCGGGCTTGAGAAAGTCCTGCACGAGCTGATTGTATTGAACCGCTGGCAGCTGGACTTTGGCCATGCGGTAGAAGGACTCACTCGGGTCGATGGTAGTATACCTTCCCAGACCCCCAAAAGGATCTAAAAAATAGATCCCCTAATTAGGGAACCTAACTACTAAAGGGTACTTTATAGGAACCCCCTTAGGGATCTATTTTTTAGATCCTTTTGGGGGTCTGGGTTCCGCAACGAGAAGCTGGGCTTCTTCAGGGTTTAGGATTCCCTAGACCCTAGAGCGAGTCTTTGTGTCCCTCTGCTTTTGGGCTTAGTTAGTCTGGATGGGTGTTAGGGTTCGAATAGCCCAGAGAACTCATCATCTAGATGTGCTGCCAGGCTAAACTTCAAGCTACTTGTGCCGGAATTCAGGTTTCGCCAGTTTTTGGGCATAAGGCTTCTGGACCACAGCTTCCGCTTCAAGCTTTCCGGTCGCTAAAAGCCAAGCCACACCTCACCCTCACCCCAACCCACCGCTTGTTCAACCCTCATCTGAAGCCACCACGCGGTTTAGGGCCCCATAGTAGTTCCTTTTTGGGATTACCTTATAGGATTCTAAATATGAACCCCAAAAAGGAACTACTATGGAGGTCTTTCGACTTTTCGATCGGCTGACCATCCACGTACAAAGACTTCGAACCAAGGCCTCAGTCCGATCTCTCCCCCCAGGCGAGGCGTCCTAAACTTCCTAAACCCTTACTTGGAGGTTCATGGGTTGGGCGGTGTGCATAGGTTCCGGGAAATGCCTCAAGCAGCGTTTGCAACTATAATCCCTCGTTCCGTCGATCCCCACAGATCAGGCTGTTCAGACGCAAACAACTTGCCTGGGTTTTCAACAGTGGACCCCCCACGACGGACAACGTTTTTCCATCTTGCAAGCTAAGCTGGATGGAATCGCCAGCCATGCTCAATACTGTCTCGTGCACCTCTTCGCGCAACAGCTGATGCAACTGGCGGAGCTTTTCTTCTAGAGTACAGGATCAATAGCGTGTCCTCTACGACAGACTAAGAGGCCCATGATACCGATGCTCAAATGCTACTTGTACCCCTTGCAGCGCGCACGGAGTCAGGATCGGAGGGCTGCGCTTCGATTTTCCGCTCAAATACCACTTCCGGAGGTATATAATGTCGAGATGACAATAGTCCCAATATGGAGGCCCTTAGAGCAGGGTTCAACTAGTCAAGGGGCTTCAATGTGCTTGAAGGGCCGTGAACAGCTTCGGCGCTGCGCAGCCCTTTGAGGTAAACTTCTTGCGGACAGTGTTCAGGGTTACTACGGTTTGTACGGACTAGGTCCAATTGGGTACTTCGTCGGGCTTGTCGTTGTCATCGGTACGTCGTCTGTCGTCGTCCGATGGGTTGTCTCGCTTTGTCCGTGCACGTTGTTTCATTGCCTCTTGCCACCTGTCTCCTTCTTGGCTCCGCCACCTGGAATCTCCTCCGCCATGCAGGCGTCGCAGGACAACCAAGCTTCAAACGTATGATTCCTCGGGTGCCTCCTGCTGTGTCCCACTCTTGGAATTCATGACCAACTCGGTGTGGTATAGGGGTCGGGGTAATTGACAATAGCACCCTCTCGAGAGTCCCTATATGTATTTGTATATATATACACATTATATATATATATATATACACACCCGAAGCCCTAATCATTCTTATTGCTGAAGCTGCTGTATTGGATGCTCAGCTTCTCGAGCACGTGCTGAAAGCTCTGGAAGAAGGGACGCAGCATTAAACAAATGCCGGAGTGGCGGAAGGTACCCGCAGCCGTGCACGCAAGCCGGTGCAGACGTCGGTGTTAACTTGATGTTTGGAGGGTACGGTACAAATCAGCTCAGCGTGAGACGCTTTTTGTCCGATGTTCATTCTATACTGTACACGGGAAGTTGACATCTCAACTGTGTCGAGCTTTCTTGATGCCTGGTGGCAGCATCGGACCCCTGGTTTCACCCACGGCCTAGCTTGCTCGACTCGCTGTCGGAGCAGGATAAGTCTGTTTTCAACAACATCTGAAGAATCGAGCGCCCGACCACTGTCCAAATTCGAAATTTGAGTTGACTCCGAAACTGCAACCGGCCCGGACAAGTGTCCGCAGGAGTTATGCGCAGGAACGATTTTGGGAATTCACTGAGGGCGTCCGAAAGAGGTGTCGTGCGGAAACCAGGCCGACTACACGGTAACCAATGCAGATTGAGGGATTGTTGGCATTGTTGGCCAACATGGTTGGATAACCGTTTCTGTGACCATCGAATGTACCGTACCTGCCGCACTCTCTACATTGCTAGTTCGCTTCGTTGCTTTCGCAGAACCCCCCTACCTGGCAAAGCGAGCACTAGCGTTGATAGTCAGAAGGTGAGCAGCAGTATGCATCCTCCTGCCTTCCATCAGCGCTATGGTCGCATCATCATGGCGATGGTTCATCAGTCGGCAAAGCCTTATTGATCTTCATGGCCTTCGATGGTTGATGGGTGCTAAGGAAACTGCCTTTGACTACTACCACCATGATCCACCACGAAGGCGGCGACAACAGCTATCGAAGACCACCAGGACGACGACAAACAAGACCGTTGTAGTGTCACCAGCACGGGCCCAAAGGCACTTGCATGCAGCACCCATGAAAGCAGTAGTTTCAGGAAGAGGCATGTAGCAGTGGTGGTAGTCATCGCCCCGGTAGAAGCAGAGGAAGTAGAAGTAGAAGTAGTAGAAGACGTAGTAGTAGTAGTAGTAGTAGTAGCAGCAGCAGCAGAAGTACAGGTGGTAGTGGAGGGAGGAAAGAAGTGGTAGGGTAGGAATGGTGGCAGTGCTAGTGGTGGTGGCGATGGTGGTGGTAGTGGTGAAGCTGGAAAGAGTAGCTGTGGCAGCGGTATGGTAGGTTCACTGGCATTGTGGGAGTAGGGGTATCGATGTAAGTATTTGTCAGAAGTCGTCGTAGTCGTAGTAAGTCGTAGCAGTAGTAATAATATTCAGGCTCTAACTCTCTGACACCTCTTGCCCTCTTCTGCCCAAAAGAGCTGTACACTGGGATGGCACTGCAGAAAACGTGTGGTTCCGGCGTTAAAACTTCGCGACTGCGCCAGGACTTTCAAATGACCGCTCTACATAGCTTCGCGGAGGGCTTCTGCCCAAAGTCAAAACTCTTGAAACTGGGGCTGCGCTAGCCCCCAGGGCAGTTCCTCCCTGATGATTTACAAAAGTTTACAAACTAAAGAAACTAGAGTTCACTGTAGGTGCAATTGAGTTGCCGGACCAGATCTGTGCGTATGCCTCGCTCCAGGCTCTTCAGAGTCAATGGCCTTTCCCTCGTGGCCCTGGCAATGAGACGAAACTTTGGCAAGTGGCCAGGGCTCAAACAAAAAAAGCTGCAGGATTTAACAGATCCTCGTCACGAGAAGGCTGTCTCTAGCTCTAGCAGAGTCTTGCGCCAGTCCGAAGCCTGTTTCCTCCTACTCGTGCTGTTTTCCAGCGCACCACAGTGCGGTTCGAAAGGCCCACTGATTTCGTTGGGTTACTTGGAGGTTCATGGGTAGTTATAAGTGGGGTTATAAGTTTTTCCCCTAATATGGATTGGAATTATAGTTACCCTACTTTTAACCCTACTTATAGCTACCCATGAACCTCCAAGTAGCACCTGGCATCGCAGCAGATTCACCATCCATAGACCAAGCCGCTCCGTGACTCGAAGGACTCCGGGATGGCTTTCCAATTTTCTCGAAGGTTTTAGGTTTAGGGTTTAGGGTTAGTAGGGTTTAGGGGTTTAGGTTCAGGGGATTTTTGGGGGTTTGCAATTTGGCGACATCTCTGGTCTGGCGGAGGCACGCACCCTCCACACCAAGCCTCAAGAGCCTTCCCACCCTGAACCTTCGATGCCCGGCCTTTGCTCATGCTGCAGCTGCAGCCTCTCAGAGGAGATTGGACGGCTTGGGGGCTTCGAGTTTTGATTTTGGGATACTGGACGTGGGGGGTGAGGACTTTATGTTTTCGAACATTCATTCGGGCTTTAGGGACTTAACATTCATTCGGGCTTTAGGGGCTCTAGGGGAAAAGGTAGCTGGGAAAAGGTCTACCTGTTCGCTCTTGGATTTCATGTATATCCGGAAGTATGAAGAGCTGGAAATCAAGGACGTTTCCAGAGATTTGTCCAACTCGGGCTAGGACAGGAAGGAATTCACCAAGGCCAGAGACCGAACCAGCAAAGTGCCACGGAGTCAGGCTCTTGCACTTCCTATGTATCTGCAGGCGGGGCTGCGATCCCGATCTGTTTCTGCCGTGCACCGCGCAGCGCCATCCGTCCTAAACCTGCTTTTACAAGTCGTCTCGCAAAGCTTTACTCCATGCCGAAGCCTCGGGGTGTGCGACATTAGTTGACATTGACATGAGCGGCTTCGGAATGGGACCCTGGAATACCGCAGGGACTTGGGGAAGGCACATCCTGGACCCTCCTTCTGAGCGAAGTTTCCGTTCCGCGGACATTTGCATGCAAGCTCACTCGGATGTGACGCCACGCACTTGAGACATGCGGACGAAAGAAGAAGCAAAACATCTGGAGAGACACATGCAACAACAACATCTGGCGAAATCAAGCTACTGCTATAGACATTGAATCTTCTCAAAAAGACATTGCAACCTGTAATCGATTTGAAGCTAGAAAGCGGCTCTAAGTTTTCAACCCGGGGCCTATAGACAATGTGTGAGGGAGTCGGCTGAAGCACTGGGAATGCCGAGATTGCCGAGTGGAAATGATGCCTCGTATCCGGAGGCCTAAACATAAGTGGGCCCTTGTTCAGGAACGTAATTCAAGTTACCATAATCGAGGTCTTTTGCTAAAGAACACTGCTTCCTTACAAACTAAACACCTTAACAAGAACCCAGGGGCGCAGGCAGGGCCAGATGCATTATCTGATGTTGGAACCGTCGTGCCCCAGCCCGGTGCAAGAAACAGACCGCGGAATGTGTACATCATATGTATACATACATACATACATACATACATACATACATAAATACGTAAATACATAAATACATTTTTACAGAAATACATACATAAAAACATACATACAATCAACAC